TTTCTAACTCTAGTACTTACACAGGCACAACCTAGTAGCCAGAAATCTTCACCAGGAGCTCGCTCTGTAATGCGGTCTCGCGGACCTGAAAGTACCGTATTATAAGTACTTGCCGGAAGCCGTGTTCGAAAATGAACCCGCCAGACTCTGCTGGGACCGGGCCATCATCACGGACAGGACTATTCTTGCGAATGAGCCCGATATTGTGCTGATGGACCAGGCACAATCAAGGATATTTTTGGTCATTACCATTCCGTATGACAAGAACCTTGTTAAAGCCGAAACAAATAAGCAAACATAATATCTGGACCTGGCTCACGAGGTAACCGACATGTGGGGTGGTTTGCCGACCGAAATTATTCCTGTAGTCGTTTCTGCAAACGGGCTAATCCCAGTCAGCCTCTCGAGTCATCTGAGGCGGCTGGGACACCATGACGGACCGCTCCATGCGGAAGGCGGTGCTCCTCGATACCGCCCGCATCGTCCGCCGGTTGCTTCCAACCCTGCCGAAGGCTTCCATCTGGTTGGACTATTATTTATTTATGTATCATTTATTTATTTAAGTTAGTATATTAAATATGTATTTATGTATATTTATCATTTCATTTTATATATTTATTCAGCCCAACCAGATGAGAATACTCTATTACTACCCCAAGTTTAATAAAAATAACAAGCAATAATAAAAATTAAAACTATGTGTAGCTTAATAATGTAGAATCTACAATAGAAACATTAAAAAGTCACGTTTATAATATTAGCTCCCTGACTGAACTAGGTTGAGTATCGGCGTTCATCATGCGTTCATTTGCTGTCCATATGGATTGATATAGCGTGCCGTCTACATGACTAATTGCCACAATGAAACTCATATTCGAGAATAACACTGTTTTTTCATGGTCATAGCCAATACTATATTAAAAATAAACACCACAAAGAACTAACAACAACTGATTTTTAAAAGCAACCTTAAGTCAAAGCGTTAATATGTTAATGATATGAATTTGGAAATCTAATTTGAATGTTAAATGCCAAAGTGAGCAAACTGGTTAACTACGTGGTAGAGCCATGCTGCAATTATATTAGTAGTATAGTTGTAGCACGAAAGGGTCGGCTCGACCGGGGAAGGACCATGCTCTCACAGAATACTAGCGTCAAATAGTAGCTTAATGCTGCTGAGTTTCGTATGGTGAGTGTAGAGACCGGAGACCCTTTTTACAGGAAACGAGGCATTCCACCTAAGTCCTCACGGATGACAACGCATCTGCATTTTGATTCATAATCGAGGATAGATGTAGATGTCTATGGGCCGCAGCAACCACTTACCATCAGGTGGGCTGTGTGTTCGTTTGTCATCCTATTCAAAAAAAAAAAAACTGTTACTCAAATTAACTTCAAAAAACTAGTCAATAATGGATGAAACACACACACGCTACGAGAAATCGCACTGTACGATCTGCACCAATAATCGTAAAGTGTGTTCCAAAGGCTCGATGTTGGCCATTTTCGCCAATCACACTCATAAAAGTGTTTTGCTTTTCGATTATTGGCGGTTTTTGTTTATTTATTTTTACAAAATTAAGTGCGGTTTCTAAGTCTACCTTACATTTACGGCATATGTTTACTGGTAATATTTAATCCATATCATTGGTTGCGTAATTTCCAGAACGCTGTCTAACCGAGTTGAATCCGTCGATTGACCGCTGGGCCGAAGTTGGGCTTACCTAGTCGGACTATTTGTCCCAGGTAAACATACTCGTCAACAATTTCGAGCTTAGTGCTCCCAACAACTACCGGCATAGGTGCGACATGGACGTTATACATGATCTTCGTTTTGTCCATGTTCATCTTAAGATCTATCTATTGGGAGGCACTATTGAGGTTATTGAGCATACACTGCTTTGAGACTCCAGCGATTCTGCCATAAGGACTATATCGTGGGCAAATCGAAGATGAGTGATGTACTCACCATTGATGTTGATACCGTATCTTTCCAGTCCAGTAGCTTGAAAACGTCTTCCAATGCAGCCGTGAAGAGTTGCGGGGATAAAACGTCACCCTGTCTTACACCTATCTGCAGTTGGATAGGTTTCGTACTCTGGTTCTATACTCGGATAGCCATCGTAGCCCTACTGTACAAGCACTTCAGCACTTCAATATACTGACAGTCAACTTGGCAACGCTGAAAGGGCTGTAGCACCGCCAAAATATCGATTTAATCAAAGATTTCTCATAGTCCACATACGCCAGGCAAAGTGGCAGATTGTAGTCTTCGGTCTTCTGTATAGTTTGCCGAAGGGTATGTATGTGGTCTATGTTGCTAAAGCCTTTTCAGAAACCGACTTGTTCGGGAGGCTGGAAGTCGTCGAGTCTGCGTGCGAGACGATTCGTAATGACTCTCGAAAACAGCATATAGATGCGGCTCAGATCTACATGCGGCTGCGGGATATCGGTCTGCAATTCTTTAAGAGAGCGTTGTCACCTTTCTTGAAGAATAAGACCCATGCAATTCTGCTACACGCCTCGGGAGTAGTGCCACGATGGTGAACGGAATTAAAAAGCTTCTAAAGGACTTCAAGTACCGGTTTTCCACCCAGTTTCAGAAGCTCCGCTGTAATTCCATCCTCGCCCGGGGACTTGCCGTTTTTAAGGTGCTGGAAATCCGTTATAATCTATCTTTAACTGACGTCCGGGATATCAACGGAATAGTGTCAAACTCATAATTTCGTCAGCTATATATCAAAACCTGAAAACGAGACTGTATAACCAGTGCGTGTTGCCAGTGATGACCTATGGAACTGAAACGTGGTCATTCACTGCTGGCCGTATGAGGACACTCAAAGTCGCTCAGCGAGCTATGAAGAGGGCTAATTTTGGAGTTGCTCTGCGTGATAAACTTATAAATGAGGATATCTGCAGTAGAACCCGAATAACCGACATAGTCCAACGGATTAGTACGCTTAAGTGGCAATGGGCCGGCCATATAGCTCGAAGAACAGACAACCGATGGGGCAAAAGGTTCTCGAGTGGCAGCCTCGTACCGGTAAGCAAAGTGTAGCGTGACCCCCCACTAGATAGAGTAACGGCGTGGTAAGACATGCAGGAAGTCGATGGATGCAGATGGCTCAGGACCGTGCTTTGTGGCATAGCTTGGGGGAGGCCTATGTTTAGTAGTGGACTTGTGAAGGGCTGTAATGATGATGATGATGATGATGTTTACGTTGATGGTTGCGGTGTTTGGCATCATCAAACATAGGCTTTTTACTTTGATTATTTGATGATGATTGAGTCGTTTCGATTGACGAATCCGACATGACAAAGAAAGGGATTTGTAAAATTCCATTATTGCTTCGTGATAACTGAAATAAATATTTAAAGTAAACACATAAACTTAATCCTAAGAAAAAAAATCTGTCTTTAATACCAACGGCACCTTTTTTACCATAGATTCTTCGTTCGTATTTTTACTTAAGTGAGCTTCTCTCCTGGCATTTTTCTATTTGTACGTAAAGCTTTATCACAATCGGTTCAGCCATTTTGAAGATTATCCGACAACAGACAGATATATATATATATATAAAATATATATATATATATATATATATATAGATAAGATAAGAAAATCGATTTCATATGAGCGTCTTTTTTCTACGAGTTATTTTATGTAGAAAGTAAAATTCACACGACAAATCAGCCACAAAAGCTATAATATTTAAAATCTATGATTAAGATGTAGTGCATTTCTAACTTTCAATAAAACCAAAAACTTTTTATAAAAATAATGATACACTTTTTGATAATTATATAGATATTATATATGAAATGAAAGATAATTTAATTTAGAATACAATTTTATTTACATTATTCAAATTTCCCTCCCCTATTTTAAATACATGCCCTTAATCGACGCGGCCATTCCATCGATCACAGCTCCACACTCATATCTCGGCCAAAGCCAAACCGGAGAGATTCCAAATTCTGATGAGGTTTAGCACAGACTTTCTCCTCCAAATGTTGCCATATCTTATAATCCATTGGGCTTAAATCTGGACTACAAGAGGGCCAGTCTTCATGTCAGATAAATTCAATCCCATGGGCGATGAACCAGTTTTGCGTGCTTCGTGCTCTATGAGCTGGTGCAGAGTCCTGTTGGAATATCCAATCTCTGTTTTTGAACATTTTTTGAGAAAGAGGTTCTACTATGTTTGTTAGGATAGTATTTTGGTAACCCTCGGTACTGGTTTTTACACCTTTTTCACACAAACCACCTCAGTTAAGCCTGAATATGAGACTCCAAGCCAAACCATGAGTGACGAAAAATAATGTGCTCGTTGAACCCTCGGAATACGCGTGCTAGCTTCTTCACTGCTGTGGGCATACACCTTATCATTTTGTTTATTATAAATTCCTTCGATGATAAAAAAATTTCATCCGAAAACAAAAATTCGCGGTATTTTTTCCCGCGTACCGCCGTAACAAAGCGCGGAATCTATCCAGCCTAATTTTTTTCAAACACTCATTCAAAAATATCCGGTGTTCTTGCGATAAGCTCGTTGTCCTAGGTCTTCATTGATCACTCTTTTGATTCTGCTTAGGCCCATCTGAAGAGCGAAGACTTTTTGTTTACGAACAGGGTTTAGTTGGATTCGCGCCTTCACTGCTTTAGTGATCGCTGGTGTCCTAACTGTACGAGGTCGGCCGCTCCTCTTACGGTCTTCGAAGCTTGAAACTTCAGTAAATCGTTTGATATTGCAATAAACAAATGATAGGGTTATTTTCAATTTTTGTAGAATATTGCAAGTCTCGTTTTACGCGTAACCACAGCGGTGCAACGCGATAACCGCTACTGACCACTCTATATTTCTATATTTGAAAATGAATGAAATAATGTTTTAAATAATAAGATTTTGACAGAACTTATGACCCGACTAAGTATATATATACATGATATACCATATCCTAAAAAAAATTTAATACGCTATCTTTTACTATTGTTACAGCATTCTTTTCGCCGATATCTGCGGATTCACTTCACTGTCGGATCAATGTACTGCTGAAGAGCTGGTGCGCCTCCTTAACGAGCTCTTTGCCCGGTGAGTAACACAACTTGAGTAGCGCTTTTCCAGAAATATAATATTTGTTAACAGAGCGAGTTATATTTTAGGCCTTTTCTAACTAAAATTCATAATGCTATAATCAAAATTACATTAAATTTTGATTATAGCAGTATGAATTTTAGTACCACATCTTCATGACCATCACATGGATATACTTGTTGTCTTGCGATTTGAATAAACCACAAATCCTCGCAAAAGAACACCGATTCCTACCAAGGACGATACGCGAGGCTATTGAAGTTAAAAAACATCCTAATTAGAGAAGATGGATGGGTGCTGCCATCTGCTTGGGATCCTTTAATTAACAGAATTAAACCCAAACCCAAGCATACCACTGCAAGACTTCAGGATACTGTAAGCTCGTTTTGCGTAGATCGGATCCAAAAATAATTTTAAAAAACTGAAGGTAGGTGGACGAACTATGACATTAGTACGTCAAACATCTCAGCCTCTACGAAACGTCGGGAATTAAAAAATAAGTAAAAGTAGTTAATTAAACGCGATAAAATCCGTAAAATTAGTTTTATTCAATGTGTAGTGTCCGCGTAAATTTAAGAACTTTAAAACAGAAATGCGTAATCAACTTAGAAAATGTATCTCAAAGTGTCATTACTTTAAATTTTTATTTACTAAATCATTATATAGTAACAAACTATACATATTTATAGCTAAATGTCGCTCAGCGAGCTATGGAGAGGTTATACTTGGGGTTTCTTTGCGTGATAAGCTTAGTAATGAGAACATCCGCAGCAGAATCAGAGTAACCGACATAGCCTAACGGATTAGTGACCTAAAGTAGCAATGGGCCCGCCATATAGCCCGAAGAACCGACAACGGATGGGGAAGAAACATTATCTAGTGGCAACCTCGTACCGGTTGGCTACGTGTAAGGTCGCCCAATAGATGGAGTGACGACACGATAAGACGTGCAGGAAGTTAATGGACGCAGGGGGATCAGGTAATTTATGGCATTCCTTGGGGCAGGCCTATGTTCAACAGTAGACTTGCATAGGGCTGTAATGATGATGATAATGATGAAATTATATAAAAAATGTTTTGGTGACAAATGGATCTTCCTGATGGTAAGTGGATAAACATCTACATAAATTCTCAATAAGGTATCAAAATACAGATGCATTGTCACCCCTGAGGACTAAAATGAAATGCCTCGTTTCAAATAAAAGGGCTCTTCGGTTCTCTACATTCACGGAACACAACGACATTAAGCTGGTTATTTAAGCTAGTATTCTGTGAGAGCGTGATGCTTCCACATTCGGGCCGACCAATTCGTGCTACAACTATAATATATACATAGATGGAGTCTTCTTATTCTATTCCTTTCTAAACACTTGATCGTTCATGGTAAAAAAAGATAAAATACTTTGAGATAGCCGTCAAAATTTGTAAGTAAAGTGGTTACCAGTTTTTGATATAACTATCAAATTATAATTGTGCAGCAAAAACAGTGGTTCATAATAATGTCGTCTAAGAATTATTTATAAAAAGCATAAATCATTAAAAATGTCAGAGTGGACATAATTTTACTAGGAAATGTAAAACTCTAACCAAATTTCGCTAATAACATTCACGCGTTTTTTCAAATGTATATTTCAGCTTGACATGAAATAGTAATGTAAAATACGGGGGCGTAATACTTAAACTATAGATTAAGATCATTTACTAACTTACCCATTAAACTCGGTTGTAAATTATGATTAATTATCAATATTGGCGTTTATTAAACCTAAGGAGGATTTCTGCTCAGACTAAATACAAAATATTCACCATTTTTATGAAATCAAGGTGTAAAACGAAGTCATATTTTACATGCAACCAATTTCAAATAAAAAGGCTACAGATGCGTTGTTATAACTCGCGACACGAAAGTTTAGCGGTGGCCGTTATTGCATATAATTGGCCGTATTGCGCATTATTGTGTGTGATTGGCTGTGCATATCTCGCAGTCGCGACTCTCCAGTCGCATTCCGTCTCCCGTACAGATACAACATTTGAATCTATCCCCTCCACGTTTCGAGTTCCCCTCAGAGTTACGTTCCTTAACTTATACCTCTGGGAAATATAATAGAATTCATTGCAGCCTGTAATTATAATGGCTCTTTGTAACTATACCCTTCAAACTGCAGCACAGCAGTGCACACACTGATAAGGCGGTAGAAATAGGTAAGTGTCCCAGACGAACTCCTAGACTCAAGGCCGTCTTAGGCCATACCGGGGCCCTTGGGCACACAAGAATTTGGGGCCATGTTTGAAAATAAAAAAAGCGAATGACAAATAAATTTACTGCTATGATCTTATACTTATTATAGTTAATTGGTAAAAATCACGCCACTTCACAATGACTTACACTAACCTCTATGTATAGAGGTCAGTGATGAGGTAAAATATTGGACAGATTTCGTTGCGTGGACCATCATTTACTGTTAAATCTTTTGAAGTGGTATTTTTATTAATATAAATACATAGATTGCCGAAAATTAAAAAAAATACAGGCTATAAGTAAGGCGACTATAAAGTCCGACAAAAATGTTTAGATACATATTTTATACCTAGGAGATCTTCACCATTCATGCCACTGCACATGCACATCAATGCCACTTTTTCTGGCTAATTTGACAATGTGTGGCTAGTCACTGCTCAGGGTTACAGAAAGTCACTAACAACGCCCTCATTTACTCTATAAACATTTTGTCGGGATATATTTATTTTCCTAAAAAAAGAAAAAAGATTGTATAGCGTAAGCGAATAACGTCACCATATTTCGTCACGGGGGCCCCGTGACGATAGGGCCCCGTGTGCCCTTATTTATGACTGAGTGACAAATAATTAATGGTAAATATGTATCTATATCTAAGAAAGGTAGAAAGCGGCTTGTGCGAATCAAGGATGAACATATATTTGATAAACTAAAAGGAAAAGAGTACCCTCTATATGGATAAATACCATAGCGTGATGTAATAAGAAGTATCAACTTAAATTATTATGTCGAAAACGTTGTTAAATAATATTTTAGGAAATTCTACTTAACTGCTAACCTGAGGAACCCTGGGCAGGAATTTTGTACAAAGGCATAAATTGTTCGTTTTCAGGTTTGATCTTTTGTGAATATGGTATTACTTTGTATTTGCTCATCCACTGAGAACTACTATATTGAGCACTTAATAGTTCGAAAGTTTTTATCCCAGTCAAAAATCTAACTGTATTATTACTGATTAAAAATTAAAGATTGTTTTAGGTTTTCTCTGATTCTAATCTTGATTTTGTTACAAGTTGTTACCGCGTTGTAATAACGGGCAAATTGTTTACTAAAGACAACTTTCTTATCGTGTACTCAGTTGTACATCAATCGCTACTGTTTTTACATTAAATGAATCCTACCATATTTAAATTCATTTAAAACAAAAAAGTTTATAGATTTAACATAGCAATTTTAATTGTGTAAAAAAATGTTTTGTAAATTAAAGACTTCACTGCCAGCATGAAGATATTTTAATCTCATTATAGTTAAAATATTAACAGTTTCGCGAGTAATGATATTGCACTCGTCTAATATTGTATATTCTGGTCAACAAGTTGAAAAACGTTAACAATAGACACAAAGCTCCTTAAAATACGAGCGATAGCTCGTTGGATTTGGGATGACAAATGTATTCTCAGGGATTATTAGCGTGGAAAAAATTGCAATTGTTATTAACAAAATACGATGAAAAAACACAATTGATGAACCAACAGTATCCGGTTTTTTTGTCAAAACTAATAATATTTAAATAAATAAAGAATATTTTTATCAATGTTTTCATTGTTTATTAACAAAACTGTTAGTTAAAAACATATTCCGTCTAACGCTATATTTTTTCTGAAGCTAAAAAATATATGTTACAAAGTACTGAAATTTTTTGGTTTTTATATTTTTATACAATTTTTTTAAATAAATTGTAATAAAATAACTTTTATCGCGTGATCTTATTAAGTATATATATATAATATATAAAAATAAAAAGGGCTCTACAAAGCCAAAAGAATATAGGTCAATTATTTATTTGGCTTTTTAAATATTAATATAATAATTTAAATAACGGACATTTATAAGAACGCAGATTAAAAAAGTAGGTTATTTAACAATCGCAAAAGTTTTGAGAAAACGAAATAATTTTATTCCTACGACTATTTTATTCTTTCAAGTGACCCGAAGATACCAGAACTTTTCAAATTTTTAAAATAACATTATAGATAGGTAGATAATTCTTTGTTGCATTTGAAAAAAGTTATTACAATAACGGAAAACTTGCGAACTACAAACGGTGGTCATATCGCTTTAAGCGTTTTCTACCTGACAAACTGAACTTAACTGGACATAGTAATTTTATATTTAGACAAGATAGGTGTAACGTGCAATATAAATTAAACTTAAAAATAAAGAAAAATATATTATTCACAATAAAATTTATAAATATATATGAATAATATATAATATAATATTTAATGAACTTAAAAAACATATATATATATATATATATATATATATATATATATATATATATATATATATATAAATTTTTAATTAACTAAATAAATCCACCCTACTATTATATATATATATATATATATATATATAAAAGAGGAAATACATATAATTTATTATTATGACGGAAACTTCAAATAAACTCCTTAAGTAATTATTTAAAAGACTGTAAAAATTGCGCTTGCTTAATGTTAAGTGGTAATGAATTCCAAAGCCGTTGGTAGTTTTAGCCAAGTTTCAGAGCCCAGAATTGCATGAATGTCTTTGTAATTTAAGGTTGTCAGCATAACAGGATAGTGTACGGGAATAAAAGAAACAAGATTCTAAGGAAGAATTGAAAGAGAGTACTGTGGAAACTATCATCTCTCTCAGAAGTATCCGAGGAATAGGTCTTGAAAGAGCTAGAGCCTAAATAAACATCATTTAGGGAAGTATTCATC